AAAACGATACTGGTATGGGGGGCTAGCTATGGAGCTGTACTTGCATTCCAATCTGAAAGCCCTTGCGCCCTAAAGGTCACCCGCCCAATCCCGAAACCCTACATGTAGTGCGAGGCGAACTACCCTACGAGTGTCAGTTCGATTATGCTATCCTTCGGGACTTGATCGCTGAGTCCCGTCGCCTGCGTTTGTGACAGTCAAGCTAGAGCTCAGGCTGGTAGTTTTCTGGGTAACTTTCCCTGCACATTCCACCATGTATACGTAGTACAACTTATCATCTGTCATCCGAATTTCCTCCACTTTGGTTGTCCCCCCTAGCCCTCCCCTCGTGACTCTAAACTTATCGGCTAGACTCGCGCGATGTCCAGCCACACCTACAGGGACCAACGCTACCGGAGCCCATCTGAAGCCTGAATAGAGACATGTTACTTCTGCTCCTCGCCTGGCGGACCCGCTCTGCTTGCCGCGTTTTTTATCTTCCGGCGTGACTCCGGTGAGGACAATTCCAAAAGTCCACACTCTCTACCCTCAATGGAGCGCAGTAAAGCATTCTGCGGGCACTCTGAAGCTCAGCTCGGGTGCTGTGCCCCAAGGAGCGGGGGTTCTGGCCGGGCGCCGGCCTCGCGGGCGGGAGGTGCGCGCGTGGATGGGGCGCGTCGATGGTGCGCGTCGGTGGTGCGCGCGGATGGGCGCGCGGGGCGGCCGGCTCAGCCCAGCCCGGGGCCCTGGAAGAGCTCCAGCAAGTCCTTGGCGTCGGGATCGATGAGGTCGGCGGGCAGGTCGCCGTCGTCGTTGGCCGCCCCCCTGTCCGCTCCCCGGGAGAGGAGGTACCTGTGCACAGGGCGGCCTGGTTGCAGCGGGAGAGGCTGGGGGACCTACCCAGCCCCGGGGCCCAGGCTGCAGCCGAGTCCCGCCTGTTTCCTGTTCCGGGTGGGCCGAGGGGGAAACCCGCCCCTTTGCTCCGGGAGGGCACAGGGCAGAGGAGATGCTGCTCCCGAGGTCCTGACTACACCGCCAGGGCAGCTTGGGGGACGCCTCCTGGAGGCTGCAGGAGGCCGGGAGGGCGGGGGAGTGGGGGGGGGGGGCTCTGGTCCCCCTCACCTGGCGATGTCGGGGTACCCGTCGCTGCAGGCGATGTGCAGGGGCGTCCAGCCCGTCTCGTCGCGCTGGTGGATGTCTGCCCCGTATTTGACCAGCAGCTTCACACACTCCAGGTTCCCGGACAGGACTGCTTCGTGCAGGGCGGCCAGGCCTGGGCGGGACAGGACAGGACAGGACAGAGGGGGTCAAGGCGGAGGCCCCCCCTGCCGCCCACAGACCTCGGCCGGCCCTGCGGGTGCTCACCTGAGGGGTACAGGGTGTCCAGGGCCACCTTCCGGGCCCGGATGAAGCGCCCCACCTGCTCCAGGTCGCCCTGGCGGACGTGGTCCAGGAACAGGACGTCGTTGGGGAAGCGCACGCTGCGCTGGGCCAGCATCCGCCGGCGCCGCTGCCGAGGGCTGTAGCCCTCATAGCGGACCGTCCTGCTGGGCATCCTGGGGGCAGCGGGGTGGCCGCCCCGTCGAGGCCGCTACTGCTCAGGGGAGGAGCCGCCCAGCCGGACAGCGACGATGCTCGATGCTCGATGCTCCCTCCGCAAGGGCTCCTCCTGCTTTTATGGGCCCGCGGAGCTATATAAAGCCGCGCGGTCATGCTCGCCCCGTGAGAGCTGAAACCGAGCCGCTGGCCGGCCACCCCGCGCACAGATCGAGTTCACGGGCTCGTCTTTCAGCCCACCTGTCGCCGTGCCCGGCCAACGGGGTCAGATCCTTCCTGGCCCTCGCACCCAGCCCCACGCGGGGCCTGGAAGGTGCCTTCAGAGGGCACCACAAGGACGGCCTGGAGGGCAGGTCCCAGGCATCGGACCCCGTCCTGGACTCTGGAGGAGGGGAGGGTGGCTCACCTCCCACAGAGCTGGGGGCTGCCCGGGGCTGCCCATGTCTGCGGAAGCGCGGCCCCCGCCCGGGAAGGCCCAGCCTGACCCGCTCCCTCCCCGTCCCCTCGCGTCACCTTCCACGGTGGCCGTGTCACTCTTGGCACTTTTACCAAAACATGGGCCTCGATGGCACTGCCCTCTTGCCTGGGAGCCTCCTGGGTTAGAACCTAAAGGCCAGCCTGGCCGGCGTGGCTCAGTGGCTGAGCGTCGACCTATGAATCAGGAGGACACGGTTTGATTCCCCGTCAGGGCACATGCCCAGGTTGCGGGCTCCATCCCCAATAAAAACATTTTTAAAAATAAAAGACGACCCAGCGGCCGGGCCAGGGCACCTGCCTTCACCGCAGCAGCCGCGGCCTGAGGGGGACAGAGGCTCAGCGCTGAGAGGAGGCAGTAGCAGACGCGGAGGACACGCAGCAGCAGCAGCAGCAGCAGCAGCAGCAGGCAGGGCGGGCGGGAGCGGGCCTGTGGGATCAGGGCAGCCTGCACACCTGATGCTGGCTATGTTGTTCTTTTCTTTAAAAACTTTTTAAATTGCTTTTAGAGAGGAAGGGAGAGAGAGAGAGAGAGAGAAAACATCAATGATGAGAGAGAATCATGGATCGGCTGCCTCCTGCACGCCCTACACTGGGGATCGAGCCCACAACCCGGGCATGTGCCCTGACCGGGAATCAAACCTGGGACCCTTCAGTTCGCAGGCTGACGCTCTATCCACTGAGCCGCACAGGCTGGGCCTGAGTTGTCTTGTTAGCATTACCTCATACCCTTACTTAGGATTTACCTTGTAGGAGGTGACAGCTGGCAATTTAACCTGCTGTTGCCGCCCGTGTATTTAACACCCTCTATGTGCAAAGCCTGCGCCAAACACGCTGCAGCGAAACAGTGCTGGACCGCCTCCCTGGCGGTCCCCCACCCCCACCCCCGCCCTCCCTGCAGGGCTGGACCGAGGGTGAGGCCCCATGTCTCTGTTCCTGCGCCTCGGGCCTCCGAGGGCAGCCGGGTGGTCTCACCCCGGTCAGTCGCTGGGGAGGAGGCAGGTACAGTTTCTTCTGGCTTCTTTACATGAAGCCTGGACATAAGAACTTTCCTTTGATGTGAAGATACCTTTTCTGATGTGGAAAGTTCTGTCCACCGTCCCCGCTCGGAGGATCGGGTGAAAGATCAGGGTGAAGCTGCCACCAGGCACGGCCCGCCCCGGAGGGACCAGGCCCCGGGCCAGGGCAGGCTGGGCCAGCCAGCCGGTGGCTGTGTTGGTGACTCCTCCTGTCTGTCCCTGTCTGTTGGTCTGTCTGCTGACGACCAGCTGAGAGCTGGGGGAGGGGTCTCCTATTAGGACCAGAGGAGGGACTGGTGCCAAAGCCTCCCCAGTCACAACAGCCCCCCAAAGGATAGTCATGGGCAGGGGCCACGGGCGCGGCCTGAGCTGGCACCTTGGAGCCCGGCCGAGGGGAGCTGCTGCGAGCAGTCTACCTGCCCCCGGGGCTCAGCCTGTGTGTCCCGCAGCGGCGCCAGGGCCAAGCCTGTGTTTAGGCGGCTCTGCCCGGTCCTTCCACGCCCCTGGGACTTGTGCAGTGGCCGGCTTGGCATGACTTCGGGTTTCTGCCCCCAGAGGACTGACACAGAGGAAAACACGTCACGCAAAGAGCTTGCTCGGAAAAGTGTAAGAGCACCCTCCCCGCCTCTCCCCTCCCCGCCGCTGTAGGCGCCGCCCTCCCGCGGCCTCTGAGGCCAGAGGGCCTGCTGCCCACCCAGCAGCTGCGGGTTCGGGTTCCAGGCCAGTGGCTGCTGCTTCTTTTTTTAAATAACAGTATTATTCATTTTTTTTAAATCTATGTTTATTGATTTGAGAGAGGGAGAGGAGAAATAGAAACATCAAAGGTGAGAGAGAATCATGGATCACCGCCTCCTGCACGCCCCCTACTGGGGATCGAGCCCACAATCCGGGCATGTGCCCTGATGGGGAAACAACCATGACCTCCTGGTTCCTAGGTCAACGCTCAACCACTGAGCCACACCGGCCAGTGGCTTCTTACCACCTGGAGAAAGGAGATGGGGAGAGAGGGAGGGAAGGAAGAGGAAGCGGGGAGAGAGACTGGGTCATCCGACCTGTTAATCCTAACTGTCCTGGAGAGCCACCTGCTAATCCACGGGCCCTGCCAGGCCTGGGACTCCACTCGCCACCTCCCAGCAACGCAGGCCCAGCGGCGCTCTCACCAGCTGTGTCTGCAGAGGGGACGGGTCGGGTCGGTGACCCCTCCTGGAGCACAAGATGGTGGTGGCAGGGCTCCTGCCCCTGGGATGGTCCCAGGATCCCACGCTGGAGTCAGGGGCGCAGGACTGAGCACAGCCCACCTGTGGCCGTGAGCCCAGAGCCCCCTGTGCTGTGGAATCGCTCAGGGTCTGGGTGGCAGAGCTGCCTTCACAGCGACCTCCCCCTAGGGTTCTGAGCCCCCACCAGGAAGGTCTGGCTGTGTTGGCAGGACGGGCGCCACATGCGAACACTGGGCGGACTGGCTGGACAGCAGCCCTGGCACAGGCCACCTGGAACAGGACGCCTGGCCGCTGAGCTGGACGGAGGAGAGGGGCCCAGGCCCTGGGTGCAGGGACAGGCTGGCCGCCCGGTGTCGCCAGAGAGCTCACCCCGTCACGCTGCCCTGCACACACTCGCTCTGGTCAGAGGCAGGAGCAGCCCAGGGGTGTCAGGGCCTGGATGCGGCTGCTGGCACCGCAGGGCAGGGCAGGCACAGGGCCTCCTGCCGGGAGTGAGGTGGAAATGACCGCAGACTCCCCACTCGCCGTGACCGGGAGAACCATGTTCACAGCAAGTCCCGTGTCACGTCTGCGGCTGTGACGCCGGCACCTGGAGGCCCCACCAGCCTGAGCCTGGAGCAGGGACTGGGGGTCGGAATGTGCATTTCCCACTCGGAGCAAGTGGAGGCGGAGCCTTGGGTGGACCCTGTGGGCTCCACATGCTGTCCTGGACCTGCATTCCTCCTCCTAGGAGTGGGGGGGCCCTTTGCCACGCTCTGGTCAGGGTCAGGGATGCCCAGTTGAACCCAGGCCGGCACTGCAGGCCTGAGGTCCCCCTGATCCCAGCTCAGCGGTGCCCTCAGCCCAAGGCAGCGGACGGCTTCCCCGTCTCTGTGCGAACTGTAAGCTGAGCTCCTGGAAGCCAGTGGCATTAGCAGCTGGGCACTGGCTGTGGCTGGCGCTGTCATTCGGCCCCTTCTGAGGCCCACACTCCTCCTCACCGACCTGCAGCGGCTGCAGACGCACCACGTGTCCTGTCCTGACCCAGACAAGATGCCCAGGGAAGTAGCGCTGGCCACACCCCACCCTCCACCCGGAGACCGCGGACATGAGGCTGTGCACTGGGAGACGGACGCGAGGACAGGGACGCTGTGTGCTACGCCTGCATGAGCTCCGAGAGGCGTCCATGCCCCCCCAGCCCACCTTCTCTCCAGTCAGGATCCAACCCCCGTCCCGTGGTCGCGAGCAGAGGCAGGCAGTAAAATTTCAACTTTATTTGGCCAATGTATTCAACTCCAATGTTGTGGTAGAAACGCCTGGAAGAACGGGACAGCTGATGGGCTCCGGCTTCCGCGCTGTCCCCATGGGAACGGAAGCCAGGCTCTGGGAGGTGCGGGCCAGGCCACGCTGTCAGACCAGCTGGGTGCTGCTCGGGGAGGGGGGTGTCTGTGCTGGCCCAGGGTGCCCACTGCCCTCTGTCTTGGGGAGCCCCTGCGAGAGACCTGACGTCTCCGTTGACCAGGCAGCGTGGGAACCTCACAGTCCCGGCAACACTGCCAGGTGAGTGACCGTCAGCCTGGCCCGCCGCCCCCACAGGGGACGCCTGTCTCCAGGGCGGCACCGAACCCGATGTCCCAAAATGCCTAAAAATCTCACAGACGATGCTAGTGATCGCATAGCAACCTAACAGGCAGCTGACATCGGCAGCGTGAGATTCCAAAACATTTTAGCGAGCGCTCAGGTCAGAACCGTGTACGAAAAAGGACGTCACAGATTAAAAAGGCCCCGCAGAGGGCCGGCCTGGAGACAAGCCCTTTCCCAGACGAAGCAGAAGACGGGCTTCAATGTACACGAGTGTCAGCGTGAAGTGTGGCTTCAGAAGTTCCCTGCATTTCCGATGGGTGCTCGGTCCTCCCGGGAGGGTGCGCAGCCCGGAGGCTGGCTGCTGGGGAGCAGCCTGAGGGGCGTCGGGGTGCCGGGCTGCTCCCACCTCACAGCTCGTCCTTCACAGCTTTCTGGTCATCGTCCTCCTCCAGGTCCGGCTCCTCTGCCTCCTCCAGATCTTCCAGATCCTGGGCGAGGGGGGAGGGAAGCCCGGAAGATCAAGGTTCAAGCAGGGCCGGCCACCTGCCCTCTGGGGAGCCGGGTCCCAGCCCCAGACGACCCAGCACGGCCGCTGGGCGCAGTGCCCACCCTCCAGCCTCAGGGTTTGCGGGGCAGTCAGCCCACGACCGCAGCAGCAGGAGGGGCTCGCCTGCCCCTTTCCCTGGCCTGACCACACCCCCTTGCCCCGCCAGTCAGCAGCCTCCAGCCCGCCACACCCTCTTGGCCTGGGACCAACTCTGGCGTCCCCTCTGCACGCTGAGCACGGCGGACAGGGCCCTTGGCCAAC